GAAGGCCATAAAAAAGAATCAAGATCGACGTATAAACACGTCTGGAACTGTTTTTTTTTTAACATCATGCTTTGTACGATTTTATTCGTCCGTATCCGAAAAAGATATTTTTGGTAAAAACGTATATACACGTCTCCGCTAGGGGAGGGGTTAAATATGCGTATTTAAAAAAAAAAAAAAAAAGTCTAATCTGGGCCTTGCCAAAGTTGCGAGTGACGAATTGGCTGCATAAATGTGGTTCTACAGAAGCATATTGAAAATGCTATGGAGAGAGCGAATAAGCAACAAGAGAAAAAGAAAACGGTAACAGAAAGTGCACTTCTATTCAGAATCAAGAAGAGATAACTGAAATTCCTTGGATATATAATAAAGATGGAGGACTTGAAAAAACTTAACCCTCCATATTGAGGTCAAGAGAGACTGGGGAAAGCAGTGAGTCGTTTACCTGATGAGTTTGTGTGAATGGACAGCAGAAAAGAGGCGGGGCCGTTAGCAAAGGGAGAAAAGAGACACACGAGATAGGAAGTTGTGGAGAACCATGATCGCCTATGTCCTGAAGGGACGCGGCACTTAGAAGAAGAAGAGCCTTGACTTTCTTATAAGCTTCAAACCAAAAAAAAAAAAACCCAAAAAACAGTGTATACTTTTCTTCAACATTAAGCTAAAGTTTTAACTACGTATACATATTTTATACTCATACACACACATACATACATGCGTCATGCATGCATGCACACGCATACGCAAACAAATAAAAACAACAAAAAGACTCTCTCTTGTCGTCTTTCTTCTCTGGGATAAAATGGCAACATTGCCCACCTTATAGTAAAGTAGGTCGTGTCTTGCCCGAAGCACATCTTGTCCAGTCATAGAAACGGGTGCTAAACACACGTGCTTTATCTCGTTGGCAGTGGGCACTTATCTGTTGCAGGGATTCTGAAAACAGTAATTTCTCCGGCTTTTCACGTGAAGAATTCGCCATCATCTCGTCAGAGTGCATTTGAAGACGCCGACACTGAAATTCTACAGATGTTAGAGATTATCTTTTCATAAAAACAGATATATATATATATATATATATATATATATATATATATATATATATATATATATATATATAAGCTCATTTAGTGATAACACAGTTCTGTTATATTCCCTGGTCTATTTTTCCGCCTGCTTCGAAAGGTGTGTGGAGTGGGGAGTTCGTAGTCGGCTTTTATGTCAAGGGAAATGAAAAAAGAAGTTAACAGTCGGGACTGAAATCTAGTAGATGGGTTTGTGCAGAGATGGCAGAAAAGATACAAGATTTGTCCAGAAAACAGTCGGCCATTTTGAATATCTTGCGTTTCTATTCGTTTAATATTAACGAAGTGACAATGAAATCCGAAGACGCATTGTAATAGCAAAAGATGCTTTCTAAAAAAAAAAAAAAAAAAAGAAAAAAGAAAAAAAAGCTAAGAAAGGTATTTAGAAAAAGGAACTTTTTTTTATTAGAAACAAAGAAAAAAAAGTGTTCAGCTTCTATGTAATACCAGCCTTAATATATAACAATGGATGCTGTACTATTTTCACATAGATGAAGAGGAAACTTGAGGCAACAAAGATGTGATTCTACAGTAGGATACTGAGAAAAACATGGACGGAGCATGTGATTAATAAAGACGTCTTAAGGAACATATAGAAAAAAGATACTTATACTTAAAATCAGCAAGAGAGTTGGAATTTCTGGGATATATTGAGGAAAGAAAGCTCGGAAAATTTGACACTCACAAGACCTACTGAAGGCAAGAGAGACAGAGAGAAACAGCGAATAACCTACTTAACGAGTTTTGTGTAAACGAGTGACAAAGCAAGGAGTGAGGCAAATAGTAAAAAGACAAATTTTGCTAAGGGCTACAAAGGCGGGGAAGTTGTGGAGAGCCATGATTACCCGCGTTCTGAAAGGACATGTCATGTAGAAGAAGAAGAATATTAACAGAGAAATAATATAAAAAGGTTACTCTAACTCGGTAAATCATCAGAGTGGGTCTTACAAAAATAGGAAGTAGTGGAGAGACATGATTGTTCACGTACTATAGGGACAAGGCATGTAGAAGGAGAATAATAAAGCAAGAATAATATAAACATTTTTGATTAACTCGACAACCAATCAGAGAGGACCTTACAAAAGATAGGAAGTTGTGGCGAGCCATGATTGCCCGTGTCCTAAAGACACATGATACGTAGAAGAGGAATATTAATAAATATGTTGATGCATTCAGATAGGATCATACAAAGGAGAGAGGGCTGTGGAGAGCCATGATTGCTCACGTTCTGAAAAGATATGGCTGGCAGAGAAAGAACTCTTTTATACTAATGTTCACCCAATAGAATGTTCAACAGCCCCACAAGGTAGAGCGTTACTGAGTGATATGGTATAAGCGTAAGAACATGCAAGAAATAAAACATCCTCCTGGGAGTCTCTTCCACAAAGTAACTGCTCTTTGGAAGAAGCTTTCCGAGTGGAACTTACTCCTGACTAATGGAAAACAAAAGGAATGGCGATGATTCACTCTCGTGTACGTGGTATGGCGGGGCCCAGTTGCAAAGGTCAGGGCTGGTGGGACATATATCTTGAAGAGATTAGGTTTTAATTAAGTGGGAAAATATCCTGCTGCGAATTGTTCCACGAAGCAGCAGTTCTTGAGAAATGCCCAAGTGGAACTTACTAATGAGTATTGGTATTTTTCCATTGCTGGCGGAAGCGGTGATATGTGTGTCTGAACACGTGATTTCCTTTCGCTCGTGATTGTAATTCATAACATATATGCATATTCTGAAAGGTTACATTTTGACGTGTTTTCCGACGCGATTCGTGTGTGAATTCTAAAATTTTCTTACGTTCAAAGTGGAGAATCTTTTTTTTTTACAGTAAGGTTCACCCTGTACCAGGCCGCTGGAATTGAGAGGGTTCCGTTAAGGGATATTTTATATAGATAGGAGGGGGAGGTAACTGTTAACTCTAGACTTAAACAGGTTAAGATTGTTGTAATCGGGGAAACATCGTCTTATGAGCCTGTTCCTCAGAGCAGGGGTCAGCGGCAAGAAGCTATTCGTGTGGAACATACTTCCCGCCGATGGAATAGTGATTTTCCAAGCGTAGCTTCGATGTGGCACTAGGCCGAAAGTAAGGAGCACCCAGTGAGGATTGAACTCACTACTCAGCCGTAATTGTTTTAGCGAGACAAGCTTGTTAACCATTACACCACCTCGAGATGCCTAGTGATTTTCCAAGCGTAGCTTCGATGTGGCACAAGGCCGAAAGTAAGGGACACCGAGTGAGGATTGAACTCACTACTCAGCCGTAATTGTCTTAGTGAGACAAGCTTGTTAACCATTACACCACCTCGAGATGCCTAGTGATTTTCCAAGCGTAGCTTGGATGTCGCACAAGACCGAAAGTAAGGGACACCCAGTGAGGATTGAACTCACTACTCAGCCGTAATTGTTTTAGCGAGACAAGCTTGTTAACCATTACACCACCTCGAGGTGCCCATCGCCTATGGAATACGGAGGGAATGTGGGTGGTTTGCTACTATGTAAGTGGTATGGCATGTCCATACCATGATGTCCATACCATGATGGCTTGAACTGGCAGAACCGGTGATATGTATGTTTTATTTTGTAGTTTTGTTGAAGTTATATTTTGGAATACCGTTTGATTTAAGAAATTCTAGGATATTATATGAACTAATGTCACAAAAGAGTTTTATATTGGTTGTTTGGTCGATTTTGTTTAGGGACATATCAACACCTCCCTGGGTCATTTAATACCGAAATCTAAATATTATGTACATAATTTTCTACTTTCAGAATAAGGATATCTTTTTTTAGATATATATTTTGTAGATCATAAAATGTATTGTTGGTTATTTTACTTTAAAAATGTACTTTTATATTTTTTGTGATGCATTGATTGTCATTTTGTTATAAAAATCTAGTGTTAGTCATTTTATTATAAAAAATGTACTGTTGATTTTTGTTTAGGGGTTCACTATTTTACCTGGGACCCTATCACCCCGGGTCAAGGTGGACCTGGGAACTGCAGCAGTTAAGCTCAAAACCTCCAATCTTCCGATCACAAGCCTTGCTGCCGGATGCAGTTTATCATCATACCCAGGGCGAAAAAAACTATCTGAAATTTTTCTTCTTGCTCAATATGTAGTTCAGTATTTTTTTTTTGTTTTTTTCTAACGATGTTTCCCTTGTTTAATTCTTTGTTTAGTTTCTCGAAGGCATCGTTCGCTATTTCTCTGTTTTCTGAAAACGAGTCATATTAAAATGAACTTTAATATTTTTATTACCATGAGTATCTGAAAAAAAATATCCGTTTAATTGACCATAAAATATTTTATGCATATTAAACGTATTTAGATTTGCTGTTTGTATTTTGTTAATGTGTTTTCATTCACAGTGAAAAAAAGTCCCTAGTTGCGTGCAAATATCAAACAATGCGCGTCATGCGAACTGAATTACTTCCTTACGAGAAAAATGAATCCAAGCAGAGAGACGCACACAAAAGCCTACAGATGCCTAGAAATAAATAAATAAATAAACAGAAAAATAGGATAAAATAAAAAAAATAAAGAAAATGGAAGCGAAAATTTCGATAAAATTAGAGCAATTCTGTTGAATGTGGTAAACATCTGCCTTGGAACATTTTTAGAATCGAGATAAGAAGAGACATGAGCGATACTCTGCCTGGTTCGATCAAACTAATGAATGACGCAAGAGTAGCCATCTGGTCACAAAATACGATAGAATATTTAAATGTCGATAGTGAATTGGCTTCATATTTCCACATTCCGGATACATTGTTTTGTTTTATTATTTTTTATTATTGTTGTTGTTGTTGTTGTTGTTGTTGTTTTTACTCGCTTTCTTTCTTCCCTTCTTATTTCTCTTCACTTCATATACGTCTTTCTTTCTTTCTTTCTTTTTTCTTTCTTTCTTATTTCTAGACTTCATATACGTCTTTTTTCTTTCTTTCTTATTTCTCTTCACTTCATATACGTTTTTCTTTCTTTTCTTATTTCTCTTCACTTCATATACGTCTTTCTTTCTTTCTTTCTTATTTCTCTTCACTTCATATACATCTTTCTTTCTTTCTTTCTTTCTTTTTTCTTTCTTTCTTATTTCTCTTCACTTCATATACATCTTTCTTTCTTTCTTTCTTTCTTTCTTTCTCTTCACTTCATATACATCTTTCTTTCTTTCTTTCTTTCTTTCTTTTTTCTTTCTTTCTTATTTCTCTTTACTTCATATACGTCTTTCTTTCTTTCTTTTCTTATTTCTCTTCACTTCATATACGTCTTTCTTTCTTTTTTTCTTTTCTTATTTCTCTTCACTTCATATACGTCTTTCTTTCTTTCTTTCCCATCTTATTTCTCTTCACTTCATTTCGTATTTTTCTTCTTTCTTTCTTTCTTTCTTTCTTTCTTTTCTTTCTTTCTTTCTTTCTTTCTTTCTTTCCTTCTTATTTCTCTTCATTTTCTTATACGTCTTTTCTTTCTTTTTCTTTTTTTTTTTCTTTCTTTTTTCTTTCTTTCATCTTATTTTCTTCTTCACTTCATATACGTCTTTCTTTCTTTCTTTCTTTCTTTCTTTCTTTCTTTCTTTCCCATCTTATTTCTCTTCACTTCATATACGTCTTTCTTTCTTTCTTTCTTTCTTTCTTTCTTTCTTTCTTTCTTTCTTTCTTTTCTTTCTTTCATTCCCTTCTTATTTCTCTTCATTTCTTTCTTTCTTTCTTTCTTTCTTTCTTTCTTTCTTTCTTTCTTTCTTTCTTTCTCATCTTATTTCTCTTCACTTCATATACGTCTTTCTTTCTTTCTTTCTTTCTTTCTTTCTTTCTTTCTTTCTTTCCTTCTTATTTCTCTTCACTTCATATACGCGTTCCTTCCTTCCTTTCTTTTTTTCTTTCTTTCTTTCTTTCTTTCTTTCTTTCTTTCTTTCTTTCTTTCTTTCTTTCTTTCTTTCTTTCTTTCTACTCGTTTCCTTTTATAACTTGTTCATGTTCTTCTATATTCTCCATATCTTAAATCCATATTTTAATTCCGTTCTTTCCTTTACACTCTTTTTTCTTTTCCTTTTTTGTATCATTCTTTTTTCTCTTTTCTACTTCTTTTTTTCCTGTCGCTCCGTTAAATATTTGAGCTCAACAGCTTTACAAAATAATCCAATAACAATCATAAATATTAATGTTTGTCGTTATTTTAAGAAGTAAGGGGGTACAAATGAAAAGATTTGAAATTGGCAGCTTTTTTCCATTTCACGGAAACAGACGTGAAACGCTTCTTTCTTTCTTTCTTTCTTTCTTTCTTTCTTTCTTTCTTTCTTTCTCAGTCTGTTCATTATCAATCAGTCAATCTATCTATCTATCTATCTATCTATCTATCTATCTATCTATCTATCTATCTATATCTGTTGAGATCTATCTATCTATCTATCTATCTATCTATCTATCTATCTATCTGTTTCAAGTCTATTTATATCTATCTATCTATCTATCTATCTATCTATCTATCTATCTATCTATCTATCTATCTCAGTCTGTTCATATTTGTCCATGTATTTATCTATGTATATCATTCTCTTCATATCTATCTATCTATCTATCTATCTATCTATCTATCTATCTATCTATCTATCTTCTTTTTCTTGTATTTTTTTCTATTTTCTCACTCTGTTTATCCCTCCTCCATTTAATTCTCTCTTTCACTCCTTTTCTGTTTCTCTTTATCTCTTTTTCCTTTAGTCTTTTTTTTTCTAACTTTCATCGTCTTTTTTGCTACTTTTTCTCTCTTTTTCAGTTTTGTCTCTCTGTTTCGCCTTCATTTCACTTTGTCTTTCCCACTCTTTCTTTTTCTCTTTATCCTCTTTTTTTTTCTTTTTAGTTTCTTTCTTTTTCTCTTTTACCACTTCTTTCATTCATCTACTTTCTTTCTACTTTTTTTTGTTTTTACTTTTCTCTTCCTATTTCTTCCTATTCTCTCTCTTTCTTCTTTCACACTCGTTCTGTTTCTCTTTATCCTATTTTTCTTTCGAATCTCTTTCTTTTACTCTTTTTCTTTCACTTTACAACGTGTTTTTCTCTTTTCATACCTTAATTTCCTTCTCTTTTTACACCCTTTCTTTTCCCGTTTTTCTGCTTCGTTCTCTTTTCTCTTTTCATTTCCTTTTTTTCTCCCTATCTTTCCTCCTTCTTGATGTCATCCTTTCGTTTACCCTCTTTCTTTTTCTATATCCTCTTCTTCCATTTAGCCTCCTCCTCTTCTTCTTCCTTTTAGCTTCCTCCTCTTCTTCTTCCTTTTAGCCTCCTCCTCTTCTTCTTCCTTTTAGCTTCCTCCTCTTCTTCTTCCTTTTAGCCTCCTCCTCTTCTTCTTCCTTTTAGCCTCCTCCTCTTCTTCTTCCTTTTAGCCTCCTCCTCTTCTTCTTCCTTTTAGCTTCCTCCTCTTCTTCTTCCTTTTAGCTTCCTCCTCTTCTTCTTCCTTTTAGCCTCCTCCTCTTCTTCTTCCTTTTAGCTCCCTCCTCTTCTTCTTCCTTTTAGCTTCCTCCTCTTCTTCTTCCTTTTAGCCCCCTCCTCTTCTTCTTCCTTTTAGCTTCCTCCACCCCCTCTTCTTTTCTTCTTTGGATAACAGCCAGATTACATTGGAAGTTCGGTCGCAGTAGGGTCACCGCAATTAAGCAACGTCAAGCCTGGTCAGTACCAAGATGGGCGACAGCTTGTGAATACCACGTGCTGTAAGCTTGGATGTGCAGATGGTGTAATCGATAATGACTCAGAATTGTTAATCAGAGAGCAGAGTTCTGATTCCACTCGGGTTCGTTATATTCACTTACGATCAAATAGCCTTGGGAAAGGGTATATTCTCCCCTAGGCTATGGGTTAATTAGTAAGACTTGTATCACTAAACCATTATTATTTTTATTTGCCCTCCAAATTCTTACAATCTAAAACAAAAATTCTGGCTTTAAATAACCAGTAAAGGGTTGATAAACAGTAGAAAATGAATCAAACATCCGACAAAAAATCTTTCTTTCTTTCTTTCTTTCTTTCTTTCTTTCTTTCTTTACAATCCTCTCGCCACCATTCTTTTTTTTTTTTTTTTTTCTTTCTTTCTTTCTTTCTTTCTTTTCTTTCTTTTTCCAATCCTCTAGCCACCATTTTTTCTTTTCTTTCTTTCTTTCTTTTTCTTTTCTTTCTTTCTTTTTCTTTCTTTCTTTCTTTCTCCACCATTTCTTTCTTTCTTTTCTTTCTTTCTTTCTTTCTTTCTTTCTTTCTTTCTAATCCTCTCGCCACCATTTCTTTCTTTCTTTCTTTCTTTCTTTCTTTCTTTCTTTCTTTCTTTCTTTCTTTCTTTCTTTCTTTCTTTTTCCAATCCTCTCGCCACCATTTTCTTTCTTTTTTTTTCTTTCTTTCTTTTCTTTCTTTTTTCTTTCTTTCTTTCTTTCTTTTTCTTTCTTTCCAATCCTCTAGCCACCATTTCTTTCTTTCTTTCTTTCTTTCTTTCTTTCTTTCTTTCTTTCTTTCTTTCTTTCTTTCTTTCTTTCTCCACCATTTCTTTCTTTCTTTCTTTCTTTCTTTCTTTCTTTCTTTCTTTCTTTCTTTCTTTCTTTCTTCTTTCTAATCCTCTCGCCACCATTTCTTTCTTTCTTTTTTCTTTCTTTCTTTCTTTTTTTTTCTTTTCTTTCTTTCTTTCTTTCTTTCTTTCTTTCCAATCCTCTCGCCACCATTCTTTCTTTCTTTCTTTCTTTCTTTCTTTCTTTCTTTCTTTCTTTCTTTCCAATCCTCTAGCCACCATTTCTTTTTTCTTTTTCTTTCTTTCTTTCTTTCTTTCTTTCTTTTTTCTTTCTTTCTTTCTTTCTTTCTTTTTCTCCACCATTTCTTTCTTTCTTTCTTTCTTTCTTTCTTTTCTTTTTCTTTCTTTCTTTTTCTTTCTTTCTAATCCTCTCGCCACCATTTCTTTCTTTCTTTCTTTCTTTCTTTCTTTCTTTCTTTCTTTTCGCTCATTTTCACTTCCCATTTCTTTTACTTACTTTCTTTTGATGTCTCTCAGTTTCTCATTATCTTCTCTGTTCTTATTTTTATGATTCTTTCTCTCTCTTTGATTCTTCAATTAATGTTTCTCTCTTAGTCAATCATTATTTCTTGTTGTTCTTCTTCTTTTTTTCTTCTTTCTTTCTTTTTTTCTTCTTTCTTCTTCTTTCTTATTTTTCACCTTTAATCCTTTTAATTAATGTTTCTCTCTGAATCAATATTTCTTCCTCTTCTTTTCCTTTCTTTTTCTTCTTCTTATTCTTTCTTCTGTTTTATTCTTCTTCCCCTTTAATCCCCTGCCTACTTTTCTTCTTCTTCTTCTTCTTCTTCTTCTTCTTCTTCTTCTTCTTATTATTATTATTATTATTGTTATTATTATTATTATTATTATTATTTCTTCTACGTTCTTCTTCTTTTTTACATTTAATCCCCTACCTACTTTTTCTCTAGTTTTATGTAATCTTCTTTTTCTTCTTCTTCTTCTTCTTCTTCTTCTTATTATTATTATTATTATTATTATTATTATTAGTAGTAGTAGTATTTCTTCTACCTTCTTCTTCTTTTATATATTCTTCTTTTTTTCTTCTTCTTCTTCTTTCTTCTTCTTCTTTTTTCTTTGCAATATTTACATTTTTTTACTGTGTATACATCTAAAGCATTCGCCGTTGTTAAGCTTGGGAATGATTTTAGTGACATGGAGTTAACAGGACGAACTCTTCTTTTCCTTTCTTTTTCTTCTTCTTATTCTTTCTTCTGTTTTATTCTTCTTCACCTTTAATCCCCTGCCTACTTTTTCTTCTTCTTCTTCTTAGTAGTAGTAGTAGTAGTAGTAGTAGTAGTATTATTAATATTAGTAGTATTTCTTCTACCTTCTTCTTCTTTTATATATTCTTCTTTTTTCTTCTTCTTCTTCTTCTTCTTCTTCTTCTTTCTTCTTCTTCTTTTTTCTTTGCAATATTTACATTTTTTTACTGTGTATACATCTAAAGCATTCGCCGTTGTTAAGCTTGGGAATGATTTTAGTGACATGGAGTTAACAGGACGAACTTTGGCATTCATAGCATGTCACCTCCCACAGAGTAAGCCAAAACAAAATTGGCAAAAAGAAAGAAAGAAAAATAAAACAATTTCTCATTCCTATTTTTCAATCATTTTATTTTATTTTAGTTTTTGAAGACCTCACAACGTCACATCTGGACAGGAAGAAAGATTAGCTTGGCTTCCTTCCAGAATGTTTTCTTCTTCGCCTAAACTGTAGAAAAATTAAAGAATTATTTACAAATAATTCCGCGGTTTAGAAATTCGTTGCTGAAGTCGGTTTCTTTGTTTCAACACTTATTTTTTTTTAATTGAAAAGTTCTGTGCCTAACCAACAAACCTTTTCAAATTACATCTGATATTGAACCATTGACTTAGAAGTTGCTCAGACATAAGACTTTTGTAGACTGTCTAATATATATATATATATATATATATATATATATATATATATATATAGTAATTTTCTAGATGTAGCTTAGATATGGCACAAGGCCGAAAGAATGGGGAACCCAGTGGGTATAGAACTCACTACTAAGTTGTCATGTTTCTAGCGAGACAAGCTTGATTACCATTACACCACGTCAAGATGTTCGTCTCTTTATATATATATATATATATATATATATATATATATATATATATATATATATATATATATATATATATATATATATAGAGAGAGAGAGAAAGAGAGAGAGCAATAGATACTTATTATAAATTGTTACTTTCGAACATGCAAATTACTGCATGTAACAATATCTATCTATCTATCTCTCTCTCTCTCTCTCTATATATATATATATATATATATATATATATATATATATATATATATATATATATAACTAGTCGAGGAATCGAAATGAAATAATAAAAAAAAACGAAAGAATATTAATCTACAACCCAGTCTGTCTGAAGATTTTAATTTCTTTTATATTTTTTATTGTTCAATTATATATATATATATATATATATATATATATATATATATATATATAGAGAGAGAGAGAGAGAGAGAGAGAGAGAGGGTCACCTCGACGTGCTGTAATGGTTAGCAAGCTTGTCTCACTAGAAGTTATAACATAATTTACTTATCACTATGTCTGAATGGCCCTTTCAAAACAAAATTAATAATTATCGGAATCGTATCAAGTCGGCTCCCCGCGAAACATTATTACCTTTAGAACAACATTTCCGCATAGAAAAACATGATTTTAAAAAGCCATGCAAAATTCGCTATTATTGAAAAAAATAGAAATAGAGAGAAACGATAACCTTAGAAATTTACTAGAGGAACAAGAAGACAAATGGATTCTGCGCCTCAAAATTCTTCGTTTAGATGGGCTTAACCACAAATGTAATAACATAGATAGAATTAATATATAACCCCATAAATCAAGCCCTACACACATGTCTCACCCTCACAAGGCAGACATGCTTGCAGAGCTGTTTAGATCTCACACTTATACACAAACTCATACTAATATATATACACATCCACATCCCATACACACTCCAAAAAGAACTAAAAGATAACATACACTTAACACACACATCCCATTCCCAGCAACCAATAAAACTGTCAAAATGACCAAGGGTGTAATTCTTAAAGTCAATAATCTCCCATCCTCTTTCTTAAAAACAACTTAATGTTAAATTAACGATAATAATAATAATAAAAAAAACTAAATGAAGTTTGGTTGAAGTGGTTTACATACTTCACGGCGCTGGCGAGTATTGTATTTTGTTGATGCTATAAAGATTACCATTTCATTTCCAACCTTCGTTTTGGTTGTTCCTCATTCAGTAATCTTTTCTAGGTTACAAACAGTCTGCGATGGAAGTCGGGGTAATATGCTGTCTAAGTGGACCACCGCTATCAGTGGTTTACCTACTTCACGGCGCTGGCGAGTATTGTATTTTGTTGATGTTATAAAGATTACCATTTCATTTCCAACCTCCGTTTTGGTTATTCCTCATTCAGTAACCCTTTCTAGGTTACAACATATATACATATATATATATATATATATATATATATATATATATATATATAATTTTGTTTAAACGCTATTTTTAATGGATATTCATTTTATGCTCAGTTTTTTAAAATTAAACTGCATTTTTTATCCCACTACCGCACTGAATCTTCATGAAATCGTATCAGAAAATTATGCGTCCTCCGACAGGATTCAAACTTGCATCCCCTATGACGATCCATAATTGGATCTAACGTGCCTAACCGCTCGGTCACGTAGGATTTACGGTCAAACAAAGCTAGAAATAGTGCTTTGATCACATATTTTCTGCCGATTCTTGAAACATTCATATCTCCTTTGTTTTCGTATCCTAACGTAAACTAAGAAAATTTATTTTGGGAAATGAATTGAATCCGATATATTGTTATTTTTAATTTATTTTGTTTAAATGTTATTTTTGATGGATACTCATATTTGAATAGAAGCCCTGTTTTTTAATTAAACAATCTTTTTTATCTACTGGCCTGAAGAGTGTGTTCAAAAAGCACTATTCACGATTTGTTTGACCGGAAGTCCTACTTGGCTGAGTGATTACGCACCTCAGATCCAATGACGGTTCCCTATAAAGGGAAGCAGGTTCGAATCTTGCCAGAGGACATTTTTCTGAGAAGATTTCTCAAATATACAGGCCAGTAGATGTAGTTGGATAAAAAAAATAGTTTAATAAAAAGACAAAGCTTCTATTCGAATATAAGTATCCATCAATGCAGGAGTTTGTTCCACAAAGTAGAAGTTGTACGGAAGAAAAACTTCCTCTTTATAAACTGAATATGGGGGAAGTGTGGGTGATTCGTCAAGTTGGACGTAGCATAGTGAAACTTAACTGTAAAGGTCAGAACTAGTCGAAATAAAGAGTGGAGATTGTCATAACACTTGCCAAGTAAATAACGTGAGCGTAGCGATAGGCTTGAATCGTTTTGTATGCGGGAAAGAGGATACAAACTGGAGAATTCGGGTCATTCCCTACAAATTCTCCAACATGCTGACTTAGCTTTCAAATGCTTGCAGATATTTTTGGGTGAGGAAGAGAAGTCGCTACAGAGATTGCGAAAATGAGTAATGAGTGTATACGCACTCTTGTGGGGAGTCCATATTATAAACATTATAATAATAGACGTAATATTGCATAAACATTCAAAGTTTACACAGCTGTTTCTAAGATACGCAGAGGCAGACACACGCTCATACCTACGAGAGATAGTACTGAAAAGTTCCCGTTTCGGCCCACTTCTGAAAACAGTATTTCTTGAGCCAAACATCAGATTTCTGTTTCAAAGAACGAAAGAAACATAAGAAACGACGATGGCAGTGAATACTGGACAATCTCCTCGAAGATGAAGAAAGGACTTGAAGCAACAGAAATGTTGCTCTACAGGAAATTAATTAAACAAAATGGCAGTCGAACGAATGAGTAAAGAGAGATTGTCGTCTGTTAGTGACGGACTTGTAAATAACAGTTTGCTTGAGACGGGAAAGATTTAATCATTTCTTTTAATTATTTGGAGATTCGAATCTTACTCAGGTCAGACTTTGGAAGGCTTTCGTTTAGTAAACTGCTAGCGATACCCACTGTTTTGAAATACTTATGATATCAAGGAGAAGAATACTAAACTGTTACATGATATCTGTCCTACTGTATGGCATTAAATGCTGGAAAATCTCAAAGATGAAGATGAGACTTGAAGCAACAGAAATATGGTTCTACAGAAGGATGCTGAGAATACCACAGACAAGGCATATGAGAAACGACGAAGCTTTAGATAAAATGGAAAAAAAGACACTTTTACTTAACATCAGGAAGAGAGTGTTAAATTTTGGGGGCATATAATGAGGAAAGGGAACTTGGCAAATTTGATACTCACAGGGCAGAAGAAAGGTAAAAGGGACAGAGGAAAACAACGCATAATATACTTGATAAATGGATGGCGGGAGAAGTTTTAGAAGAAAGACAAAAACAAGATTTATTAAGAGCTACGAAAGAAAATTGTGGAGAGCCATGATCGCCTACACCCTGAACAGACACAGCACATAGAGAAGAAGAAAAGTGTAATGAACTCTTGGATGAATATCTGGAATAAAAAATTTCCGTGTTAATTATTTTAGTTTTATTTATCTTTTCAACGCTTCTAGTTGGTATGGTAGAATAATGGATTTGAGAAATCGGAGAGCCGAGTTCGAATTCCAATCGAGTTCATTGCATTCACTTACTTTGAAAAGGCATGAATCCAACTCTTCTCTTCACCCCCCCCAGCTATGGGTAAATATTAGGACAGAGTGAGTTCCATAACCCTGGGTGGCAAGCGGCCTAGGAGAAGCAAACCTCTGGATTCAAAACTATATGTAGCCCTAACGAAGCGCATACAATGCAGCTAAGGCGAGGATCGTTTGCATTGACTCGATGATCCCGACCAAGGTCGATTCCTTTTTCAACGCTTCTAATAATTTTTTTCTGATTTCAGATTGCTATTGGAAGATGAAATTTTATTCGCTATTTTAATTAAGTAGACGCGTGTTTAAATTGTTTTATTTATTTTATTAAACGGTAAGGATGATGCTCCTCCTCAAATTGGTAACATTACCAGTTTAAAGAGGAGCACCGTCCTGCTGGAACCCCTGTTCCTCCTCATCAAGGTCCACGCGCTCCTTGGGCTCTCCCCATATTAGAGGCCTCTACTTTGTTTCAACAACTGTGATACGCCCTGTACAAGTGCTGGACATGAACAGGCAGAAATAAGCCAGGTGTTTTCATACATTTATCGGCACCTTATTGAAATAATCAGCATTAAATTAAATCCACAAAAAGAAAGGCTCAGTGTCATACCTCGTATTTTTAGCACAGTCCTTTAGTCACCAAACAAATCAGCAATGCCAGATGTGAGTAAGAAACGATACTGCGCTTGCTTAGTC